GGGAGCAGCCACTGCACTCCAGTCTGGGCAACCGAGTGAGACTCCAATTCAAAAACAAAACAAAACAAAACAAAAAGAAACTAGAGACTTGCCCTGGCACCTCTTAGATACCTAGCCAACTAGCACTTGAAGGTGTCTTAGGAAGGGGCAGCCCAAAAAGTCACAGATTAGGGCTTGAACCCCATGGGGCAGACCCCTGATGACATCCTTCCAGGTGGTCTCACTGTGCCTCTCTGAGCCTCTGTTTCCCCTTCTGTGAAATGGGGAGAGTTGCTGAGGAGTGATGGGTGCCCCTGGGGCAGCCAGGCAGATACCAAATTCGAGCCATTTCTGCCAAGACCTGGGCCAGACAGAAAATTGGCTCCACGCACATTTCAGCCTCGTAGCTCCTCCCATTCGCTGTCTCTCTGTCTCTTCCACGTTTCCTCCCATCGTGCTTACCTCTGCCCTCTGCCTGGCTTGCCAGCTCTCTTGCATGCCTGACCACAGGCCCTCGCCTCTCCCTCCCGCATGCCCTCCTGGCTCCGCTCGCTGGCAGGGCCTTCTGGGAGCCAGCTGTGCCCAGTCCCTCACCCCTCCTGTCATTCGTTGAAGCTGCACCCCTGGGTCACGAGGCACGGGGCGGAGCCATTGCCATCGGAGGACGAGAACTGCACGCTGGTCGAGGTGACCGAAGAGGAGGTCGAGAACTCAGTCAAACACATTCCCAGCCTGGCGACCGTGGTAAGGCGTACAGACCACGGACCGAGAGCAGGGACCCAGAGAGCCTGAGGTGGGCCCCGACCAGAACAGAGCCAGACGTAGTGGGGAGCCCCTAACCCACAGCCACTGGCCTCTGGACCTTGGTCACACATCAGTCCAGAGGACCCTGCATCTTCGGAGCCAGCATCCATGTTACAACAGGGAGGGGGCGTCCCTCTCTGAGGATTACACTGCTCGCTCTGGAATTCCTGCCTTCAGAGCATACCAGGGAAGAAGAACAGGAAAAGCACCAGGCAGGAGCCAGGGGCGGGAGCTGGGACCGAGATCATTAAGATGAGATTCCCACCTGGCTGACCTTCATCTCCAGGGCGGACTGCTGAGGATGTCTCACATCTGCCATGTGAGCGGCTCCCAGGGCTAGAGAGACGGGCTCTTGCTCACACACCTCAGAAAGTTCTGCCTGACTCCTGAGGGTGGGATTTTGCTTAGGAGCTACTGGGTCTTTCTTTATAGCCTGGAATTTGGGTCCAGACCCAGGAAGAAGGAGTCAGAATGTGGAGCCCTCACGCCTAACCTTGGAGACTCTGGGAATCACCCACTTGCCAAGTTCCTGTCCAGGAAGGCGTCTGGCTCCAGGAGTAGACCAGGAGTCCCGGGCCTCTGGGGTCCAGGCTGCAGTCCTAGGGACAGAGACCAGCCAGCTGTCCCACCATGGCCCCCTTGAAAACCCTGGTTGCATTTGGCCAGTACTGGCCCCAGCAGGCAAGTGGGCCCCTGGGCTCTAGGAGAGACCCGTGAGACTCTCTTCTGAGACACAATCCAGCCTCAAAGGACTGCCCCTCTGGAGCCCAGATGCTGGCTCCTTCTCTTCCAGCTTTGCACCTTTTCCTTCTGCTTCCCCAGACACTTCCTCTCTCCTTCCAGAACCTGAGCCCCGGGCATTCATCCACATCCTCCTCCCCCCTTTCCGCTCCCCCGCCTGGGGTCTGTGCATGACCTTCACTGTTAAAGACTCACCCACGCCCACTCACCCTCATCCTCCTTCCACCCACTGCGCTCCGTCCTGCACCCAAAGTCGGGGAGGCAGCTGGTGTTGGACTCTGCACCCATCATGGGTTATTCTATTTCATGGTCAAGATGTCCTAGTCCTGAATCAGTCCCCTGCCTTCACCCTCCAGGTCTCAGCTGCAGGGTCTTGGAGAAAGTGTGTGACCCTGGAGGTCTGGCGTAGGCCTGCGTTATTCGGGAAACACTTGGTGAACACAGAGTGGTTTCTCAGGCTTCTGTTAGGTGTGGGGGGGTGTGAGGGTACAGTGATGAACAAAACCCACATGGCCCCGGCCTCCTTCAGAGGCAGATTCTGGTCAAACCATCAAGAAATACACATAGCCGGGCTCAGTGACTCAGCCTGTCATCCCGTGCCTTTGGGAGGCTGAGGTGAGTGGATTGCCTGAGCCCGTGGGTTCGAGACCCGCCTGGCCAACTTGGCGAGACCTCATCTCTACAATAAATCAAAAAAAAAAAATTAGCCGGGTGTGGTAGCACACGCCTGTAGTTCCAGTTACTTGGAAGGATCACTGGAGCCCAGTAGGTCGAGGCTGCGGTGGCCGAGAGCGGCCACTGCCCTCCAGTCTGGGCGACAGAGTGAGACTCCAACCAAAAAAAAAAAAAAAGAAATACACATACAGTGCAGTAGAGGGGCCACAGGGCATGCCCCTAAGAAGGGACACTTGGCCCAGGCAATGAACTGGAGAAGCCTTCCTAGAAGATGTGGTGATACACTAAGGGTGGTGTTAAGCCAACCGAAAGGGGATAGAGGGGTGAATACACGCCTCCCAAGAGGGACAGCACACTTAGTGTCCTCTAGTGGAAGGGAACTGGGCCCACAGGAAACTTTCAGAAAGCCAGGGCCATTGAAGCAGGGCAAGGAACGTGACGAGAGGGTACGGCAAAGATTTAAATCTTTACTCCAAGATCTGTGGGGAGTTCCTGCAGGGTGTGAATCAGGGAGGCTGGAGCAGGTAGGGGTGGGCAGAAAGGGATCTGACTTGGCACAGGATTGTGAGGTTCAGGCCCAAACACAGTGTGTGCCAAGCATGGGTCACAAAGACAGGCGAGGTCCAGGCCAGCTCTCCAGGCTCTCAGCCTCATAAGAAAGCTGGACCTGGAACAAATAGCCCTCCTGTGCGATCAGAGGCCGGTACAGAGAACTCCTTCCCCTGGGTTGCCAAGGCCACAGAATAGGGGGCTGGGGAGGCCCACTGGTTGGGGGGATACCTACTAAAGCTCAGGAAAGGGACTCTTGTGTCCCACAGACTGTGAGACCCAGGGAATGTGGCCTTCATTCTCAAAGTTGGTGGTTTTCTTTTTTTTTTAATTGAAGTTGAATACACATAACATAAAATTAACCATTTTAAAGTGAACAATTTAGTGACATTAAGGACATTTGCAGTATTATTCAATTATCACCTCAGTAGTTTGGAAACATTTTCATCACCTCAAAAGAGACTTTCTGTCCAGCAGTCACGTCCCCATTCCCCAGCCTCTGGCAACCACTAACCTGCTCTCTCTGTCTGTGAGTTTATTTATTCTGGTGAAATCATGCAATATGTGGTCTTTTGGGGTCTGGCTTCTTTCACTTAGCCTTGTGTTTTTCAAGGGTCATCCATGTTGTAGCATGTGTCAGAATTTTATTTATAGGCTGGGCACAGTAGCCCCCGCCTATAATCTGAGCACTTTGGGAGGCCAGGGTGGGAGGATTGCTTGAGCCCAGGAGTTCAGGACCAGTGTAGGCAATATGGTGAGACTTTATCTCTACAAACAAACAAACTGGGCATGGTGACATGTGCCTTTGCCTATTGGAGAGGCTGAGGTAGGCGAATCACCTGAGCCCAGGAATTTGAGGCTGCAGTGAGCCATGATTGTGCCACTGCACTCCAGCCTGGGCCACAGAGTGAGACTCCAACTCAAAAAAAGAAAAAAGAACAATTTATTTCTTTTTAAGGCTGATTAATACTCCATATATAGATAGACACTTTATTTATCTATTCATCCATTGATGGACATGTGGGTGTTCTACCTTTTGAGAAACCAGTGTTTTTAAAACACTTATTTTTCTGGTTAGCAGCAGACCCTTAAAAAAAAAATCAGAAGCTCAGTCAGTATTTGAAACAACTTGAAGAGGCACTGTGCTCTGGTTGAGAGTGGGGTGAGGGCCAGAGCCTGGCTTCTCAATGACCTTTATGGGGTCTGCAGGCCATTTCCAAAATCATTACCAAGGGTGATTGGTTCACTGCTTTGCTCCAGAACTTTCCAGGGCTCCCTGGCTGGCAACAGGCTCTGTTGCCTCTGGGTGAGGATTCTAAGTGAGGGAATTAGATCCAGGTTTCAGAAAGGATGGGGAGGGGAAAGAGCCTGAGAAGAGATGCTGAGCAAGAGCTGAGGGCACCTTTTCTCAAAGGGTCCTTCTCTTAGGCAGGCTGTTTCCTAGCCAAGCCTGTGTGGGGGTGGGTGCAGCAGCCACCGGCGAGTTTCCACTCTGGCATGGACAAGGCCAGCCCTCAGCACCTCTCAGCTTGGAGGAACCTCCAGGGTTTCTGAGCCCTTCTTCCTCACACCACACCAGCCTGTGAACTGGCCATCCTCAGAGTCCTGGGATGTTCCCATCCCCAACCGAAATGTAGCCCCCTGAGAAACTGGTACCCTTGTATGTTGCTGGTGGGAATGTAAAATGGTGCAGCTGCTGTAGAAAACAGTCTGGTGAGTCCTCAAAATTTTAAACATCCCATATGATCCGGAAATTCCATTCTTAGTCTGTACCTAAGGTAAGTGAAAATGTTTTATGTAGAAAACATATTCATGTAAAAATTCATACATGAATGTTCCTTGCAGCACTATTCACAATAGCCAAAAAATGGAAGCAATCCATATGTCCATCAATGGGTGAATGGATAAGCAAAATGTGGTCTGTCCACACAAAGGATTATTTATTTATTTTGAGTCGGAGTCTCACTTCGTTGCCCAGGCTGGAGTGCCGTGGCACACTCACGGCTACCCAGCATTGACCTGCTGGCCTCTGGCGATCCTTCCACCTCAGCCTTCCTAGTAGCCAGAACTACAGGCACATGCCACCACGCCCAGCTAATTTTTGATTTATTGTAGAGATGAGGTCTCGCCAAGTTGCCTGGGCTGGTCTTGAGCCCACAGACTCAGGCAATCCACTTGCCTTGTCCTCCTAAAGTGCTGCGATTACAGCACACAAAGAATTATTATTGGGCCATAAAAGAAGGAATGAAGCATTGACACATGCCATGGCAAGAATGAACCCCAGAAACAGGCTGCTCGGTGAAAGAAGCCAGACACAAAAGGGCACGTTTGTATGATTCTATTGATAGGAAATGTCTAGAATAGGCCAGTTTACACAGAAAGATGCGTAGGTGCCAGGGCTGGGAAAAGGGCAAATGGGAGTGACTGCTCACAGTCAGGGGCTCTTTTGGGGGAAATGTAAATGTCCTTGTATCAGATCATGGTGATGTGGATATAGTAAAAACTATAAGATGGTGAATTTGTGGCCATATGAGATACATTTTAGTTTAGTTTTTTTTGTTGTTGTTTTTTGAGTCAGAGTCTCACTCTTTCGCTCAGACTGGATTGCAGTGGCTGCTCCCGGCCACCACAGTCTCGACATGCTGGGCTCCAGCAGTCCTTCTGCCTACGCCTTCCAGGTAGCTGGAACTACAGGCGCGCGCTACCATGCCCGGCTAATTTTTTATTTATTGTAGAGTTGAGGTCTTGCCAAGTTGCCCATGCGGGTCTCAAACCTGTGGGTTCAGGCAATCCACTCACCTTGGCCTCCCAAAGCGCTGGATTACAGGCTGAGCCACTGAGCCCGGCCACATTTTAGTTTTTAAAAAGCAGTTCTCCATCCTCAAAATTACACCTGGGAAGTAATAGTTTTGTTTCTTGTTGGAGTGGTCACAGACGACTTTCACCAAAAATAAAGGCCTGACCTTAAAGATGAGGCAGGTGGTTGGGCTGGAGGGCACATCCAGCCGTGACTCAGGTGAGACAGAGGGTACCATCTGTGCCCAAAGGACAGTGCAGGCCAGCTGTCCTGGAGCACGGGCCTGTGGGGGTCAGCTTGACCGGAACTACATTATGAAAGTCCTTGAGTGTCAAACCAAGGGGTTTGGACCTTACCTTGTCATGGAACTATGGGAGGTTTTGGAGCAGGTCAGATTTAGAGATGGCTCGGGCTGGCGTATCCTGGATGGGAAGGCCTGCCATCGCCCACGAGCCCTGGGAGCTGGCAGGGGCTGGGGAGAAGGAAGAGAGAGGATGTTGCCTGGAATCTCCCCCTCCCTACCCCCGTGGCCAACCAGTCACCACTGGCCTCTCCTCTCTCCCTCTTCAGATCCTGGTGAAGACCATGATACGTAAACGCTCCTTCGGGAACCCGTTTGAGGGCAGCCGGCGGGAGGAGCGCTCCTTGTCAGCTCCTGGAAACCTGCTCACGTGAGTGTCCACCTGCCTTCCTGGGTGGGGGGCTGGTGGCTGGAGGCTGAGCTTGGCCAGCCCTGCCCAGGCCACTCTGCATGGGCCCCTTTCTGAAGCAGTCCATCCGGAAGGACTCAGATGAAACCCGCCCGGGACTCAGGGAAGTCACCAGCTGCTGGCTGTGATTCCATCCCGGGCTCAACCCACCTCCTTGTCCCGACAGCTGTACCTTTCTCAGGGGGACTAGCACTTTAGCTGGGGGACTCTTGGCAATCAGAAGGAGAACACCTTAGTGGCCCAGAAGCGTGAGTGCCCATTGGTAGGATTTGAGGCTCGCTTGGTACCCTGTCTGTCCGTGCAGAGAGGTGACTGCTCACCTGCTGTCAAGACCGCCCTGGCACTGGCTCTATGAAGCTGATGTTTGGGGTCTGAGTGTCTCTGGGGTTGGGTCAGCATCCTGTGGATCCTAAGGGTCCCTTCTCACTTCCCTTTTCCCTCCCTCCGACGATTCTAGCAAAAAACCGACCAGGGAGTGTGAGCCCCTGTCTGAGCCCAAGGTAACGCCTGCCTGCCTGTGCCGTAGCCTCTGCTGGGGCCTGGGGGCGGGGGCGCTACAGAGCACGGGGGCCTCTCCACCCGGGCGGAGATCCTTCCAGCCCAGGCTCACCACGGGCTTCCAGATCCAGGATTAGAACGAGGGGCATTGGGGGGCTTGGACCTGGTGGCGGGTCGTGCATGTGGGCTGGGGCTGCGGGTGCATGGCGCTCCACCTGGAATGCCTGCGAAGTCACCCAGGTCTGAAGACCCGTGTGGCACCCCCGTATACTCAGTGCACGTCAATGGCATAAAAGCTCTGTCACAGGGCCCGTGGCTGTCCCACCCAATTCCATGTGGTCAGCAGTGGTCAGGCATGCTCTGTGGCTCTTCGCAGGGGCTCTCCATCCTCACCCTTCCTTCTCTGGTGTGTTAAGACTTGGGAGATAAGGCCTCTTCCAGTCTGTTGCCAAGTTGTGTAGAGTCCTCTGACTCGAGTGGGGTCCTCCTTCCAAATACACCAGATCAGGTTACCAGAACCCGCTGAGACAGATAGGAATTTTTGTTCCTGAGAGACTGGGAAGATCTACTGAACTGCTGCAAGTGCCTGTGGCAGGTAGCGACCCCACTGTCCTTTCTCCTGAGCCTGACACGGGCACCTGACTCTGAGCTGGGAGCTCCAGGCAGCCATTTTTATTTCTTTTCTTTTTTGTTTATTTACTTATATTATAAATTTATTTATTTATGTTATAAAGATATGGGGTACCATTCAGGGTCAAGTATATACGAACCTTGATTACATAGGTACCCTTGTTGATGAGGTATGCCCCTCCCTCCCCTAGCAGTTTTCCTCCCCTAGCAGTTCACCTCAACTGCCAATCCCACCCCCCTCCCCTGACAGTTTCCCACTACTGCCAATTGCATTTTTCTTTCTTTTTTTTTTTGAGTTGGAGTCTCACTCTGTCTCCCAGACTGAAGTGCAGTGGCTGCTCTCGAGCCCGCAGCCTCGACCTGCTGGGCTCCGGCAATCCTTCCGCCTCAGCCTTCCAAGTAGCTG